GTTTTTTTAGTACTAATCTAGTAAGAATCTTTATCTTCATTCCCCAAAGTAAGTAAATCTAATGCAAATAAATTCCCTTTGACCTTTTACCTGTGCTAGCCATTCATAAATGTCAATCCATTAAAATACCAGACTATCCCATCACCTTTACTGTAACTTCAGTCTTTCCAAAGCATCTCATATCCTGCTGCCAAAGTGTGTTTGCTCTTCTACCTTGTTTAAATTAAGCTTATAGTGTCAGCTTTCATGTCTTGCGTCGCTAGTTCAAGCTCTAACCTAGGCATCTCTTCGTAGTGTATGAATATACTGGCTGCTTCTCATTGATTTCACCCAGATCCCTGGCTGGGTTTGGTAAAATCTTTTAGTCTGACTTTTTAGGTAACACTTCCTTCCTCATTTTAGTCATCCTGTCTCCTGGTGTTTCTTTGCATCCTTTTTTACCTGAATTTCCTCTTCTCTCAGCTGTGAAATTCAGGTGCAGAGATCTGAATTCTCTGATTCCTTCCCACGGTTGCTTAGTTTGCAGCTCTTATTATCAGCAAGGCCAGTCTCATAAGAAGGGACAAGGATTTGTCCAAGACCTTAGGATACCATCGACCAAGAAGAGCCCCCAAAAGGTACATCCTACACTGCTGTATTCAGCCTCTTGACCATCTCCTGTGTTTGTCAAGTCAAACCCGTGACTGGACCAACAGTTGTTATCTTTCAGTGGTCTCTCATGAAAGAAAAAAGAAGAAACCATGTGCCCAGAGCAGCCAAACATTCTGCAAACCACTGAGAAATTGATGCTAAAGGTGGTTGCTCCGTGATTGATTACAAATGAACTAGGTCTTCTTCCCTTCTGCTTCCAGAAAGAAACCCCAAATCTTTCCGCAATGACTTGCTTCTTCCCTTAAAAAGACAATTTCCTTTTCTTTTTTTTTGCTTTCTAATTGATTATGCCCCTCACTGACAGTGAACAGTCAGTTAGTGAACAGAACAACTGTAATTCCAGATGCTGGGAAGAGAGCACAGCTACTTTGGAAATTCTCACAAAGCAAGTGTTTCCCATTAGAACTGAGTGAATTTGGAATTAGTGAATTATTTGCAGACAGTACATTTGTCAAAAAGTGGCATTTCTTGCAAATTCTTCAATTCCTTTTATTCTGGTCAACTTCAAATAATAGTTGCAGGTGAGAGAAATGGGGAGAAAATAGATTTTGAATGTCAGCGTATTTTCTTTCGGAAAAAATGAAAGCAAAAAGTTTCAATTCTTCTTTTGTAAAATGTTTTATTCAGCACATCAAATTTAATGTTTAATTACCTAAACTTTCTGAAGTGTCCTTAAGAAACTGGGTGAAGGAGGGAGCAGATGGCATTTATTAGTGGGATGCAGGAGGATACTTGAAAATGTTTGGCCCAAAACAGTTTTTCTCCTATTTTCCTCAGGCTGGCAATCAAAATGGGAAAAAACACATTCACCCAGTTCTGTTCCTGATATTAAAAGAAAAGTCTTCTTGTTAAAGGAGATGCTGAATAAACAATTCTTTAATGAAGTTGCTACATATTATACATTGTCTATACAGGAGTGGGAATTTGTGCTTTTTACGTGGACAGTTCTCCAGGTCCAGAGTTCACAAGTGATATGCTCTTGAGAAAGGAGCTTCTTCTCGACTCCTTTGTCTTTTGGTCTGCCAAACTTAAATAGGCAAAATGGATGAAGTATACCAGATCTCTTCTACGGAGAAGGTCCAGCAGCTGGAACAAGAACTAGCAGCACAGCTGGCAGAGCTGAAGGCAGAAATAGAAGACAACAGGATACTCCAGGGAATACCAAGTAGGGCATACAGGTAACAAGAGTTTGCTGGGGAATGAAGGAGAGCGTGAGATTATAGCAATGCATTGCATCTCTTCTTGGTTTTTTTTGGTCAGGATACAAAAGTCGTGTTCTGTTCAATTTTGAGACCTGAATACACACATGGGAGCCAGGAATAGCAGCTTTTTCATTGTGTGTTTACCACAGAATTATGGTTGAAATGGAAGCGAATGTCAAAACATAAACTAAATTGATTTCATGTTGTATATTATAAGCAAAACTTTAAATCTCCCTAGCATGTCAAGTATTTCCTTCTTACAGTGAAGAGGAAGTATCTTCAGACATAACACTGGGATGTATAAACAGAATGGTCACATACAAGAGAGCCGCTCTTATTTTCCTCAGCGATGATGAGATGCAAGCTATGACAACGTACCCAGGTACATTGGCATTATGCTTCAAGGAAGCTGTAGACCACCTGGAGAACATGTGGAGGAAAACAGAGATGAAGAACGCTTGACTAGGACACTTGAAACAAAAAGGAAAGGAGCTGGACTTATGTCTCCACTCTATTTTCTCTAGATCATAAGTCTTCTGACACATGGGAGATTGCTCTAAAGATGAAGGGAATAAACTTCTGTTTGCACTTATGAATAGGACAGAAGATAATGGGCTAAAATTCAAGTGTAAGTTAAACACTGATATCTAGACTAGGAGGTTGCTGACCATCCATGATGGCCATCTGCCTTTAAGAACAGGATAGACAAACACCTTTAGGGAACAGATTTACTTTTTCCTGCCTTAGAGCAGTGGAAGTGGTAGATGATCACAAACCCCCTCCTGGTCCTACCTCTTTAGGGCTCTGAAGTGTTCCAGCACAGTTTCCTGTGTGTTGCTTTTGGACAAGACTTAGGAGCCCTTTTTGTTAATGGTCCAGTTTTCACCTATGTTTTTAATTTTCATGCATTCATTACATAAAAATTATGTAATGTATGCTTCCTGTAACTATATTGATCATAGAAGCATAGGATATCTCAAGTTGGAAGGTACTCATAAGAATCATTGAGTCCAACTCCCTGCTCCTCGCAGGACTACCTAACACTAAACTGAATGACTAAGAGCATCATCCAGACCACTTCCCTAGGGAGCCTGTTCCAGTGACAGACCACCCTCTCAAAGAACCTTTTATAAATGTGGATGCGTGAGAAGTAAAAAACAGTTCTCCTCCAGAAGTTTTCTTAGGCCCTCCTTCTGTGATACAGGCATATGAGGAAGGAAGTTGATGAAATTGTGAAGGATGCTTGTCAAGGAACTCCACTGCATAGTTGTGGGTTGTCATATGTGTCCATAGGATTGTCAAGCATCCAGATGGACTTTTTAAGGGCTTTGACTAAAAGATAGAGGTGGAAGAAACAGTTTGCCAAAAAAAATCCGCTAATTAAATAACTTCTGCTGCTTTAATATAGGATTTTCATACTGTTAAACTTGCTTACTGTTAACTTCACCATCTGAGTTGTGTTAGGCCTGGCAAATGTTTGGTTTATACCAGCTTGTATGTAACAGCCTGTTGAACGTTTGGGTTTTTTTTTTTCCTGCAGTTCTGTTGCAATTCCAAAGGATACATCTTATTTCAGAAAAGAAAGGGAGGTAATACTAAAGAAAGGCTTACAGGTAGGTAGCTAAAACGTACACTGGCTTAAAAAAAATCTCTTTGCTCTTTACCAAGTAGTAACCGAAAATTAAAATGAGAGAAAGTGATATGTTTTTTGGAATCTGAGCACGGAAAGACAGAATGGGAAGGGTTGTAATGTTGTTTGCACGTTAGTAAAGCAGCATAACCTTTTTCTTATTTGAATAATAATGTGGACCTGGCTCTGCAGCGTTTGTTTATGTGACAACTCCCAATTAAATTCAAAGCCTAAACATTTTTCTGTTTACCACTTTTTTTTTTTTTTAATATCCTGAAAAAGAGATCTATTCAGCATGTGCTCCGTTTGCAGGTGACAGAAGCAAAACCTCTTGTTATTCAGGCTGATGTCGTGCAGAGGGAGTTAGAGAGCTGCTGGAGAAGGGAGCATACAGCAGCAAACTTGCCTCTGCTGCTGCACCAGGTAGGGCTCCCGCTTGCTGCGAAGATCCAGGAGCTTTCCTCTGGCCCAGCAGGTTGCACTGTGCGCATTTTAAAATAAAAACGGTATGCAACTCAGCCCTGAAAACTCACGAAACTGTCAGTGCTTGCAGTTTCCTTGCGCGATGTGAAAATTTCCTCTTCGTCTCTTTCTTTAAAGGACAGGAATCTAAGCCAGGTCACATGGGCTGGGACAAAGTTCTCCTCGTTCCCTGATGCTTTTGTGCTGTTCCAGTGCGTCTGTGTTGTGGGTTATTTTTATTTTCATTTTTAAAGTGGAGTTCAAATTTCTAGGTCCAGTGGACAGAATTCTGCCATTTTCCTTGTATTAACTGCTTTTTTTCATTCCCACAATAATACTTCCACTAGGACAACTTCGGGGAAGTACCCTTCATAGATAAATATAACAGCACCACTGGTCTTTGGTGACTGATTAGCTGTTGCTTTGGTGTTATTCTCTGATGCTAATGATGATCTATATACTGCTTAAGTTTCCTATAATGTTAAGCTGTTGTTGTTTACAAATGTGTGATTTGCTCGTTATTTCTGATTTTGTTCAAGTTTTTTACAGACAGAATTACTCAGCTAGTCCAGAGTAAATATTTGCACATGCTTAGATGGAAGAGATTTTGTACGCACAGCAGTGTTATTGAACAGCTTTATCCTCTCTATCAGGTAGGAACCAAAACCTAGGATCTAGCACATATATATCTATCACAGTAGCTGTTCATGAAAAACAAAGTGTTAGCAATGGCTTTTTTCCCACCCAAATAAAAAGCTATTAACATTAAGGGTAATTTTTCTCTGGACATTCACTCTCAGCTGTCTGCTTATCGTCAATATTAGCTGCTCAGAGAGATTCACTATTTGGACTGAAATTCCACTTTCCTCATCGGGTTGGAAATACCACTTGTAAGCATTTGGGAGGGAAATAAACCTTCGAGATTATTCTCAAACTAGGATTCCTCATGCAGTGGGAATGCAATGGCCTTCTAGCTAATAAGGGAAGAAGATGCAGAAATGCAAAAATGACAGCGTCTCTTTTATATACATAAACAGAAGCTAATTAGTCACATCATGGAGGAATACAACGATGCAGTTCAGAGGGCTGCAAGACTTTCAGCGGCAAGGGAAAGTTTCCTGACAGGAAAGAAAAATCCGGTGAATGTAGTGACACAGGAAGATCTGATGATTTACACCCGGTGGTTAGTGTGTCACCTGCACTCTCTGAAGGGCATTCACCATTTTCTCCAGGTAAGATGAGCGTTTTTTGAACAATGAAGTATAATTATAAAACGTTCAAGTCTTGAATAAGGAAGTAAACTGAGGAAGATAAAATTCAATGTAAAAGAAATCTGGAGGTTTGTAGGTAATGAGCTACACTGCGTACATATGACTTTCAATTCTTTCAGCAGATTGATTTTACTAGAAAGGAAATACTAGAATGACAAAGCTGAATTTAGGTAAGTGGAATAATGAGCTCCCTGGGTGCAGTGTAGATAGTGTTGGGCTGCTTGGATTTGAGGAGATCGAGGATGAGAAGGAGAAAGCTTGGAGAGACTTTTTTTCTGTATTATTACTGTGATGATGTTTTGATAGAGCAGGACACTCTCAAGGGGCTGAGTCATCTCAATGAATAGTGTGTAGGCTTGAGGAGTATTTGTTCATTTAAGCACCACCTTTCGAAAACAAATCTGAATACTTCCTTATTTTATCTAGTTTCTTTAATGATTTTATTATATGAGTGCTACAAGTCATTGACAATGAATAAACTTCTGGAATTATACACAATGGATAACTATGGTTTGTTTTTTCTCTTTTGTGTTTTATTTTATTACTAAATTTGCAACTGAATAGTCTGTATGCTTTCTAAACGACTGAGAATAACAACAGATATGTTCTTACCTCCAGGTTCTCCAGCATTTGCCTATTTCTCACAGAATGAATGTGACTGATGAGAAATGTCCTGATGTGGTCCAAGACAGCTGGGACAAATTAAGAAGTGCTTTTGACAAGAATTCAAATATTTTTAATATTGATGTGTTTCCCTTTTCAAGAGTTTTAAGAAGAAATGGTGAGAAACTATCAGCTTTCCTTTAAAACCACAAGTCCTACAGATAATGCATTTGTTGATGTATATTCTTTGAGAAAGGTCAACTGTGCAAATGTTGCCATTCTTGGTTTGTATGCTTGAGAAATTTGGAGTGTGGCTTTTAAAGTCAGCAAGAATCTTGGAAATCTGGTGTCCAAATTCCAGAGTGCGGAGCCCTGAATCTGCAGCGGTCGCTCCTCTGGCCTTACTGCGCCCTGGGCTGCAGAAACAGGCGGTTCAGAAGGATACTTGTAGGATCAGCTTGGTGGAGAATCCGGGATGTTGTCCCGATTATGCCAAACCCTGAAACTCACCCTTCCAACTTTCTGCAAGAATATTATTTAAAATATTTCTGTGGGTGGCCTGTTTCTAGAGAAACTAAAGGGGAGAGCTCTTGTTCTAAGACTTATACTGAAGTATCTCTAGAAAAATGTCCTTGTGGTTATTTTCAAGTTCTCTTTCCTTTTGAAGGAAGGGAGGGAGTGATGTTGCTTATGTAGAGTTACCTGTGTGAATGATAGC